TTCATTCCCACACCTCGACGCTGTATCGCCGCCGCACCCCGCCTCGCCGTGGCTTGCCCGCTTGGCGCGCTGCACAGGTGACCTCTTGGTGTGCATGATGATTGTGGTTCGAGGCTGCAACGGGGGTAGTGCTGTGTTTGCTGGACACGAACCGGCAATATGTGGATATGACTCGCTCATTCGCCACGCCCCTCCGACTCCTGTTTTGGCTCACCAGCCCACTTCTGGCTTTGTATGCTTTGCACCCGTTGCTTGTGGCTGCGTGTTTGGGGGTCAAGAGGAGGGGTTGATGTGCTGATTGGTAACAAGCGTTGTGCTTTCCTCCTGTTTTCCTTTCTTCCAGTGCTTTCTGAGAGGGCCGCGTTGGGAGAATAAAGGAAGATATGTTGACGTTGAAAGCCGACATTTTTGTGTTTGTTTGTACGGGTGGAAGCATCCTCGTCCCTCTGGATGAAGGGTTGGTTTCTGCTGTGTTCTTCCTTTAGAACCGCCGCTTGAGTTGATCCTGGAGGCGCTTGCGCCCGGGACCTGTTATTGCAGGCGTTTTTCTAGGGTGTTGGTGGTGGTTGCTGGATAGCCCGAAAGAACCCCACTCGAGTGGTGTGTCAGTGGGTGTGAAAAATAAGGGAGAGATGGTCCCGCCGCATGACGGGCCAACGGTAGAAATTTCAAATATCCTCCCTTATCCTGTTACTGCACAATCATGTTTGAAGTTGTTTTCCCACTCGCTCAACCAGCAACACCCACTCTCATTCTGTTTCTTGCTCAAATGCCTATTAATCAGGCGAGCGTCTTAGATAGATTAGATAGATTATCAATGCAAAGCATCTGATCTCGACATTGTCCTTCGAAAAGTGATTGCTTGTATCTGTTGAGCAGTCAAGTGTCCGAGAGTGATGTGGCTGCACGTGGCTGGCTGGACCCTGGCCAAAGCTCCGCGGCAATGACGATGACCGCCGAGCTCCAGGCGCATCCCATGCACCCATGGAGCTTGCAGCACCCGTCGCATAGGGCATGATCATGTCCAAATGAAGTCGCAGTCGATACAATAGCCACAATGCTCTCTGCATTCACCGCCCGACCCATCGTCGAGCTCAAGCAGCGCGACAAGTCGAAGATCGAGTCCATCCTCGCATATGGTACAGCGCCCGCCTGCAGCATCTCCCCAGCTTACTAACACAACCAGGCGACCGCGTGCTCGTAGGCTTGAACACGGGCGCTCTGCGCATCTACCGCGTAAACGACCAGATCGAGGATGTAGAGCCCGACCGCAAGCAGAACGGCGACCCGAACGGCGAAAGCGAAGCACCTGCCACGCCAAAAGCCAGACCCGCCGACCTCCTACGCGAAGAGGAGAAGTTCTCCCGACGCCCGATACAACAGCTGGCGATTATCAAGGAAGCGAATATCCTGGTCTCGCTGTCGGACAACTATGTCTCGATCCACGACATTCAGACGTACCAGTTGCAGGAGAAGCTCGAGAAGACACGGGGTGCGACTACGTTCGCTGCGGCAAGCAATATCGTCAAGGATCCCTCGACTGGCATTCCGTCCATCGTGAGCCACCTGGCTGTCGCCGTGAAGCGGAAGATCATACTGTGGACATGGCAGGACATGGAGCTGACGGGTGACGCGGTGGAGATCTCGCTCATCGCTTCGGTCAAGAGCCTGACATGGGCGACGGGTACCAAGATAGTCGCTGGCATGGACCCCGGCTTCGTAATGGTCAACATCGAGACGCAGGAGGTGCAGGACATCATCAAACCAGGCGCGTTGGCTGAGAACGGGAGTCAGGGCGGAGCACGCTTCGGTGCTGTTTCGTCGTCAGGCATGGGATACATGGGCATGGGTAGTTGGGTGCCGAAGCCGCTCGCGACACGACTTGGAGAGGGCGAGATGCTGTTGGCGAAAGATGTCAACAGCCTGTTCATCGATACAGACGGGAATGCCCTCGAGAAGCGACAAGTACCCTGGCACTCCGCCCCCGAGACCATCGCATATTCGTACCCATATATGCTCACGCTACTACCTCCTTCGAAGGGCAGTCTGGAAGTCAGGAATCCGGATACCCTGAGCCTGCTACAGACAATCGCACTACCAAATGTCAGCTTCCTTCACGTACCGCAGCCGAACATCAGCTTAGCCCACGCCGGGAAGGGCTTCCTCGTCGCGAGCGATCGATCGATATGGCGCATGGGAGCACAGAGCTACGAGACACAGATTGATGAGCTGGTCGCTCATGGGCGTTACGACGAGTCGCTCAGTCTCCTCAACATGCTGGAAGATACTCTGCTTCTTGACAAGGAGGAGAGGGTGCGGGAGATACAGATACTGAAGGCGCAGGCCTTGTTCGATCAGAGGAAGTATCGTGAGGCCATGGAGCTGTTTGTCGATGCAAAGGCCCCGCCCGAGCGCGTCATCGCAATGTATCCCCGGTCTATCGCTGGCAACCTAGCGCCAGAAGAGAGTGTTAAGGGCGATGGAAGTGTGGCGGACGAGGAAGAGACGAATGGAGAGAAGCCAACGAAAGAGCAAGAAGAAAGCACGCCCGCTCCTGTAGCCACGATTGGTCGGTCAATGATGGGTCGGTTCGGAGTCGGAGGCCATAAGAAGGTTGATTCAGACGCTGCATCTATTCGCACCAACTCTGCCAAAGACGATACCATGGAACCGGCGAGTGTGAAGAAGAGGCCAACCGACCCCTCCCAGCCCGACAAAGCGGCCGCAGAGAAAGAGTTCAAAGATTCTGTTCGCGCTCTGCAGTCTTTCCTCACTCAATGTCGTGTCCAGATAAAACGCTACATCGACACAGACGGTAACCTGAAAGAACCTCTCCCCACACCGAGCGGCAGCCAACTCGAAGCCGAGAAGCCACCCTTCCACATCTTCATCGAAGAATCCTCACTTCAATCTCCCGTCGATTGGAAAGCAAAACTGCTTGAAGTCGCTCAACTCGTCGACACAACCCTCTTCCGCGCCTACATGATCGCCAACCCCAGCGTAGCCGGCTCCCTCTTCCGGCTCCCCAACTTCTGCGAACCAGACGTCGTGCAAGAGAAGCTCTACGAAACAGGCCGCTACGCCGATCTAATCGACTTCCTCCACGGCAAGAAACTGCACCGCCAGGCCCTAGAACTACTCGAGAAATTCGGCAAGAACGAAGCCGACGAAGAGGTCTCACCCGCACTGCAAGGACCGCAAAGAACAGTAGGCTATCTACAAGCACTGCCCCCCGAACTCATCGACCTCATCCTCGAATACGCAGAATGGCCCCTCCGCACCGACCCCAAACTCGGCATGGAAATCTTCCTCGCCGACACCGAAAACGCCGAAACTTTACCTCGCGACCGCGTTTTGGAGTTTCTGCAAAACATTGATTTGAAACTGGCGGTTAGGTATCTCGAACACATTATCGAGGAGCTGAATGACCTGAATGTGGATTTCCACCAGAGGCTTGTGGATTTGCTGTTGGAGAGATTGAAAAAGGCGGGAGAGTTTGGGGAAGGGGAAGAGGGGGAGGCAGAGAAGAGGGATTGGAAGGAGAGGTTGGAGGTTTTTTTGAAGAAGGGGAATGCGCAGTATAATCGGTATAGGGTGTTTCAGCAACTTCCTGCGAATGGTATGTTTCTCTATCGCAAGTTGGAGATGAGATTGTTGTTGCTAACAGATGTAGATCCGGATTACTACGAAGCGAGAGCTATTGTGCTGAGTAAAATGGGGAGTCACAAGCAGGCATTGGCGATTTACGTGTTCCAGTTGAAGGATTACCAGAAAGCTGAGGAGTACGTCTTTCCTCCCAACCCACTCTATTACTATCTAGCAACAACATCTCACTAACACACCACCACAGATACTGCAACCAAGTCTACACAGCACCCCCCACCTCATCCCCTTCCTCGCGCCCCCACTCCCCGCAAACAACCCGCGGCACAATCGAAGACACGGAACTATCAATCTACCACGTCCTCCTCTCCCTCTACCTCCAACCCCCACCCCCGCACCAACCAAACTGGCCCCCTGCCCTAGACCTCCTATCAAAGCACGGCGCCCGCCTCCCCGCAGCCACAACCCTCGATCTCATCCCCCCGAGCCTCCCCGTCAAAGACCTGGAATCCTACTTCTTCGGCCGCATCCGCAACGCCAATTCCTTGCTCAACGAAGAGAGGATTGTGGCGCGTTTGAGGGGGGTGGAGAAGGTGGCTGTGGAGGCGGCGGTGTTGTTGGGCGGAGAGGAGAAGAGGGATGCGTATGGCAGGAAGGTGCCGGGCGGTCTTAATAGGAGGGTCGTGATTGATGAGGAGAGGCATTGTGCGGTCTGTCATAAGAGGTTTGGGGGGAGTGCGATTAGGGTGTTTCCGGATAATGGGGTTGTGCATAGTGGGTGTGCAAGGGGGAGTTTGGGTACGGGTACTGGTGGTGGGTTTGGAGGTGCTGCGTCTGGGAGGAGGACTGGGGGTGCGGGGTGGCGGTAGTATGGGATTGTCGTGGAGCGTGCTATAGCATATTCCAGAAGAGCTTGTGGTTAAGATGTATTATCCGTCAAGAATGCTCTTCTTGATGAAATCGTGCCTCAGTCTTCATCAACGACTTCCTCGCCATATGTCTCCTCGTCTTTTGCGTCGTCGGCGGCTTTGTCGTCGGCCATTTTTTGTGTTAGAAAGGCGTTTACGTCTGCCTGGAGGGTTTTGAGGGACGAGGAGAGCGTATCGAGGTATGCGACACGATCGGTGGTTGTGGGTGGTGAGGCGAGTGCGGGGAGTTCGGAGGTGAAGGTCTGGGGGTCCGAGGTTGGGGATGTGTAGGTTGCTGTTAGGGAGGGCATGTTGGGTGGTGAGTTCCAGCGGGTGGTATTTTCGGAGTAGGGGTGGATATGTAGTTGGTGTGTTGAAGTGTTGGAGTGAAGGTTAATTGAAGATAGGCGGGGTCAAGCGGCTCGGGGTGGAGACAGCACGGCCACGCGACGTAGATCCATCAACGGCGCATGTAACAGTGGCAGTAGGATGCACGTCAGCTCCTCCCACGACTCCACCTGAGCTTGGATAACGCTGTATCTGCTACTCTCTCCATGCAGGCCATGAGGGAATACGACTAGACACGAGTTTCTTCTTCCTCCCTCCCATATTCACTTTCCATCCGTCCCGTGTGTGCAGCCCCGGCCTACAGCCACCGCCTCTACACCCTGTCCCTGCAAACAGCCACACTGTCGCAAAAGCAACCCACGCGGTAATACGAGAGGGCCTGCAGTGCGACGGCCCACGATGGCGCCCTCCTCACCCCCTCCCCAGACGCCATCCATCCACACGCCCTCGATACACCGCCCCTCGCTCGACGACTCCGACTCGGACGGCTCCCAGGCCACGCTGCAGCAGCAGCAACAGCAACAGCGCCGCTCTCCCCTGCCCGCCTCGATACTCTCGCCCTCGTCCGCAAAGTCGCCGACCTCAGCAGACTCGCGCGGCGCCCCAGCGCAAAACTACTCGCGTCCAGGCATTGTGCGCGATGCAACACAGAGCCAGAGTCACATTGGCGCGCATCTAGGACACCGCCCCCGCCAGCGCTCCCAAGGCTACTTCGAGCCCAGTCTGAGTTCCATGAAGGAGGGCTCGATACGGGACCGAGACAACACCATGGCGTCGCAGACCCATCTTACCGCCTCGCAGATTGCCGCCCAGGCCGCATATGCCTCGAACCCCCAGCACAATCGCAAGCGCTCTACCACGATACCCGCGCCGAACGAAGCTGCGCCTGCGGGACGGGGCCAGCCCATGAGTCCGCCGCCTGTGCCGGCGCAGGTCACGTTCAGGACGAATGGCATCACATATTCGAATGGGGTCGGGGGCGGCAGGATGGCCGCGACGAGTGCTGCGAACGCGGCTTTTCCACGGAGTCCGCTGAACTCGCCTGGCATTGAAGGGACACAGCAACCGCACGCGTCGCCTAAATTAGTGTCGACGCCTGAGCCGCCGCAGCTGCAGAAGCCGAAGGAGGGGAAGAGCAGGATAGGCGGGAAGCTGTTCTCGTCCAAGCCGAAGAACATCAAGGTGGACAACCGGTTGGATGGCAAACATCAGGCTCTACCGTCGCCGGGCAAGATTGGCATTGGCATTCATAGCTCGCAGGCGCTGAATCGCATGATGATGGCGGGGTCGACGACGAGCTTGGTCGATTCGGCGACAAATAGCAGTAATGCTTCCTTGTACTCTTCTGCCAACGCGTCGACATCCACGCTAGTGCCTCCACGGAATGATTCTCTACCCGAGAGGAAAGAAGAGAAGCACAAACACCACTTCTTGTCACGGCAGAAGAACAAGTTGAAAGACCAGGATGGCTTCGCGCTGCCATTGTCATCTGCCAGCAGTAACTCCAAACCTACAAATCCCAGCGCACCAGAGCCGCTGTATTCATTTGCCGCGCCTTCATCGCCAGGGCATTCGAGTAGTTTTGCAAATTCAGTCACCGGCCTGGATCTCCGGCATGGAGGACGCCACCTCCGACGAGCGAAGAAGGAAGAGAAGGCCGCCGCATTTCTAGACGCGCAACTCGAACCCCCATACCGAGAGCGGAACCAGTCGTTTAGCACCGAGCGCTCAGAATGGCCGTCTCTAGCTAGCAGCATAACCACAACCCCCAACATGAGCACGCCCAGCCAAACCATCTCTCACACAACAGAGATGCTACATCTAGGCAGTTCCTTTGGCATAAACGGCCTCTCCCCCGACGACGCCTGGCCCCTACTCAAAGCACGAGTACTGTTAATATTCGAAGGAGAAGACCCCCGGCCCCCTGTCGAAGATTTCAACGCCCTAGTAACCGTCCACATAAAACGCTGCATCCACAAACGCTCCCCCATAATCCTCATCGAAGACCTAAACGAACTCCTGCAAACCGGCTTCGGCTCTCTGGACCAAACACTCCGCCACGTCCCCGACGACCGCCTCATCCCACACCTAGTAGAAATGTGGCTCGTAGTCTTCACCACCATCCTCCCCTTCCTGCAAGCCGTCTTCCTCCCCCTCGACCTCGAGTTCAGAGGCAGCGGCATAATGACGAGTGCCCAGGCAGGCGAGTTCTGGGGCGTTATGTTGCCTGATGAGATGAATACCAAGAGTCCTGAACATAGAAATATACCTATCTTGGGCGAGCTAGAGGTTAGGCGGATTACGCTGCTTATGTTTAGGGATATTGTTATTTTGCCGCGGTATGAGGCGCTCATGGCGATTTTTTCGCGACTTAGTTTGGAGAATCTGAATGCGGGACTGGAAAGCCCGAGTCCGATTCCAGATCATAGGCCTGGGACGGCGGGGAGTGGCGTTGGTGGTGCGGGGGAGAGACAGAGTGGAGGGGTGGGTGAGATGGGGAGTCTGAACTCGACGTCTACGTCTTCAGCCGGGTACTTGGAGTCGACGACGAGTATGACGAGTTCGACATTCGCGAACAGTACGAGGAGTAGGGCGACGTCTAACACTTCCGCTGGATCTTTCTCCTCAAACCCATCCTCCCACCCGCCGCCGCATTACCACCCCCAATCACTCCACCACCCTACTTCCTCCTCAAACGCCCTCCACCCAACCATCTCCCACCTCCATCCACCTCCAACATCCCACAGCAACTTCTCATCCAACGCCCCCTCCTCCCTGCGGCAAACACCCATGGACAGCACCAAAGTCACCGAAACAGTCGGTCGCATGCTGCAATGCGTGTCCGTACTTGTATCTCTACAGTCGAGCGATGATGCGCAGGAGAAAATCGGGAGGCTGAATAAGGAGTTGAAATATAATTGGTTGGGGAGAGGCAGGACGGGGAGGCAGAGACAGGGGTTTGTGGGGCCGAGAGGGGGGACGAGGATGGGGTTGGGTATGGGGTTGGCAGCGGGAGGTGTGAGTGTTGCGGGTGTGGGCGCTTAACTGTGACAAGAAAAAGGTTGGATAGGCGGTGTTGTATGTGTACGTTTTGTGTCTTGCTTCTTCTTCTTCTTGTGTTTGGAGGATACGTCTGTGGGTTGCGTGTGTAGACCGCGCCGGCGTTTTGTTGTCATTTGCTTGCTGTGCCCTTTTTCCAGGTTGTAGGTTTGCGATATGTGTACGAGATTACCTGTTCAACGAAACTCAATGGATACGCAGGGGAGTGGATATACTGTCTTTGCTCCAAATGACAACATGTCTCTCTCTACCAAGGCAACTCCTCCCCCGTCCTATGGAAAAACTTCCCCGTATACGCCATTCCCTTCTCCCTCAACACATCCCACAGCCCCCTCGCCGCCTCATCAGGTTCCACCGCCCCGGGTACATCTGCTCCTTCCTTATGTCGCGGATCTAGATCCGTCTTCACAATCCCCGGATGCAGCACCAACACCACCGCGCCATCCCCTTTCAAATCCACACTCATACTCTTAAACAAACTATTCACCCCCGCTTTACTCGCGCGATACGCGTACTGGCCTCCAGACGTGTTATCCGCCATGCTACCCACACGACTCGACACCACTGCGATTTTCGGTGAGGAGGATTTGGTGATATTGGGCAAGAGCGCTTGCGTCAGGAGCAGCGGGCCGAAAGTGTTCACCGCAAACGTTTTCTGCAGTCCATCCAAATCAACTGTGCGGAGCGCATCGTCCTCCGGTCTTTCCATGACGCCGGCGACGTGCAGGAGGAGGTCAATCGGTGTGTCTGCGCCGATGCACTGGGCGAAAGACTGGATTGATAAAAGCGAGGAAACGTCGAGCTGGTGGGTTTCGCAGGGAAGCGAGGTTAGGGTGGGGCCGAGGGTTTGGTCTGTTGCTAGTACGGTGTAGTTCTGGATGGGGGCTTGTTAGGCTGTTGAAGGGAGGGAGAGGGGAATGGAGATGGGGGGTTTTGCGGACTTCGTTGATGAGGATTTTGGCGAGGGCGTGGCCGATGCCAGAGTTTGCGCCTGTTATTACTGCTGTTGGCATTGTGGTGGTGATGGTAACTTTGGTGTTAGTTTGTGTGAAACCTGAGTTTAGGTTGGATTAACGATCCAGTAATATTCGGTAAGGTTTATTGTCTAAGTATCGGGCACCTTGAGATGATCGTTCTTGTTATACATGGAGGAAATGGCCTATGACGTTGATGACGTCTATCTTACAACGTAGCGATCTTTTCGTTACTCCTGTATCTAGTGGCCGTGAGATGAGTGTGCTAGATGCTTCATTTGTGACATGCAAGATCACGATATTTTCAAGGCCAAGCAAAGTCGATGGATCTATATTGAGTGGCTCGTGGTAGTCTCGATGGTTGCGCGATACCGAATCTAGCTAGTCTACATTCCGGTATTCAGCTACGGGGATCTCGCAATCAACCCAACAGCACAACGCAAAAGAACTAGAACTCCTTACTGCTCGCATCCAATAGAGAACTCAATGCGCAAACCGAAAGTCCAACCGCTTATTCCCCTCTTCCTTCGTAGTTTCCAGATACGTCTCTTTCTCATCTTTGGTCATACTCTCCCAAATCCCATCTCTCTTCTTGTTAACAGCAACATAATACACCTTGGCCCCAACAAACAGCGCAAAGTTATACGCACAGATCGCAATCAAGACCTTATTCCCCCTCCGATAAAGCGGCTTATCATCATCACGGTAGATGTTCTGACTGATGATGCTACTCGCCTGCACACACATATTGTACAGCGCACTAGCCACCGTCCGCGTCCTGACTGCGCCTGCATTGCGCGATGTGATGGCAACAAGGATAGCGTGGATATACGGGTGTCCGACGAGAAGGGTTGATAGCACCCAGCGTGACCAGGGCGACGCTGTTGCAGGAAGTACCTCTAGAGCAATGAGCAGGGGTAACGCCCAGATCTGCGATATCAGGCCGACGAGGAAACGTTGGTTGAAGCGCTCGGATATGTAGGTCCAGAAGAGGAGTTGCAGGATGAAGAGGACGTATGCGGGGATCTGTGGGTTTGTTAGTCGTAGTAGGGAGATCGGAAGGGGGTGCTTACGGTGAGAAGGTTGGTTTCGAAGGTGCCGAAGCCAAGGGAGCGGAGTTGAAGCGTGAGATACGCTGTTGAAGGTGTTGTCGGTATTGTCCATGATAAGCCAAGAAGGTAAATCGGCCACATGTGATAGTCCTTAAGACAATCCCACAGCATGCGGAAGCTCAGACCTTGTCTGTTGTGCATGTCGCCCTTGCTAGGGTCATCCCTCAATATGCGGTTAACCATGATCTTCTCTTCTCTCTCATTGAACCATCCGTCTTTTCCACGGAACGGGTTCCATGCCGTACTCGCAGTCTGTGTCGGACTGGGTGGCAGGTAAAACCAAGATGCGATGCCGATGCAGCCTGTCAACATGCCCTCAAGTGCGAATAGCCAACGCCAACCTTCCATACCGTTGTGTCCGCGCAGACGCAATATGCCAAAGGCGAAGAAGGCAGAGACAATCTGAGTAGACTGGTAGCTCACCCAGAACCAACTCAACCGCCCAGGTAACTCCCACCCTGTGTAGAAGTAACTGAGGTAAAGGATGTTATCAGGAATGAATCCACCTTCAATCAATCCCAACAGCGCGCGGCAAGCAAAGAACGAACTACGTCCGCTCAGGAAAGCTTGAAAGCTAGCCACAAGACTCCAGCTGACCATCTGAACAGGAATCCAATTATCGGGTCCGAGCTTCTTGCTGATGAGTTGCGATGGAAGCTCAGCGCATAGGAAGCAGAGGTAAAAAATGGTCTGCCCGTAGTTGTAGTCGTTGGTGTTCATGCCAAGGTCGTCGAGCATGTTATCGCTGAGGGCTTGCGATATGTTGCCTCGGTCGAGTTGGAGGGCGAAGAACATTAGACAGGCCCAGGTGCAGATGCGCTTGTCGATCTGGGGTAGGTCAGCGTGAGCTCCGTGGATACTTGAAGAACGATGCTGTTTACCTTGCGCACGAGACGCTTTTCTTCTGGCTTGTCCCAGACGAAGTCCGGATCGTATCGATGGATGCCCTCGTAGGAATCTACGGGTCTGTATCGGTCTTTTCCGATGTCTGAAGAGATGAAGGTCGTGCCATATCTTGTCTTGGTACCGGATGTGTTGACTGCCGTGTCGCTGTCGTTGTCGCTTCCCGCAGTGTTGAGAATCACTTTACCATCGACGGGATAGTCATCGGCAGTATCATTGGCGACCATCTTGAAACTTGAGCTGCTCTTTAAGGTCAATGGAGTACTCTCATATTGAGAATGCAACGAGGATGCGCTCTCATTATATCTGTGCGCGCTCTCTCGCTCGTTGACCCATGCGATAACTGTCCCATGCGCAAAGCTTCTGGGTTGTCATCTTTCAGTGCAACAGTTTCGCAATTTTGCTAGCGTTGCAACGCACGATGACCGTGTATCCACCGACTGTCAATGCATCTTCGCCATCTTTGCGCCTCTCGGTTACACTTGGATTCTGATACTGGCCGCGGAACTGACAGCGACAATCGTGCCGCCATATCTAACGAGCACGCAAACAGTGGGTGTCATTTCGCAGCGGGGTCGAGCGGTTCTGTGCAGTATATCCGGAGTTGATTCGTCGTGGTCTCTTTCGATGATGGATTGCGTGATTGGCTGGGGTGTTGGCGACATAGATATGGAACACCATATCCGCCACTACTACAACGGTGCGTTCGGAGATAATACTGACGCCAGAGTCTTGGTATATTCGACATCGCGTGGGATGGTTCGGTTGCATGAAGCCTTGCATGACTCGTTGGTCTTTGCTGCTCGCGGTTAGTCTCAGGTAGGAAGAAAGTATGAAGCAATACAGTGCATGCTTGATGCAATCTGATCGCACGCTGATTGATCGGAGCATATCGCGGCAGTCAAATTCACTGGATCGCCAAGATAGGTTACTTGACTGCGACATCCGATGATTGTGGCAACTTGGCGTTGAGTTCGCAAGAGCGGGGTTGCGCGTAGCCAATGTCGAGTCGCAATGAAGCATTGCTACTCACACTCATGATGCGATTCGTACATATAAGGCCACTTCATGGGTGATGTGATAGACTTCCAGATTGACGCTCCTCACCATCACCCTAAGCAATATTGTTTGATAGCAACATGGCTCCAGCACTCATCGAAGAGGTCACCGAGCAGACAACTGTCGGCTACAAGTCTGGAGTTGGTCAGTACAAAGAAGCTGCCTTTGGTGGTCCAAAGGTCTTCCAGAAGGAACTCGAGCTGCGCGGCACTGATAAGCACGCGCCTGCCAAGTATCCGCATTACCTCCCGACTTGGGACAATGAGCAGGGCAGAAAGTAAGTATTGCGATACCGATAGTGGTGCCAGAGACTGATCAAAGACATAGATACCCACCATGGGAGCCATTCGAGCACACTGAGCACGGAAAAGATGCCGACCCTTCTTTCCCTAACCTCTTGGCGAACGCGACTGTCGCCGACATCACAGCAAACATCGGCGCTGAAGTCCATGGCGTCCAGCTGAGCAAGCTGACAGATGCTGGAAAAGATGAACTCGCACTCTTTGTCGCCCAGAAGAAAGTCGTAGCGTTCCGTGATCAAGACTTCGCAGACATCCCAATCAAAGACGCACTCGCTTTCGGTGGATACTTCGGTCGACACCATATCCATCCTACATCGGGTGCTCCTGAGGGCTATCCTGAGGTTCATCTCGTCCACCGAGGTACTGACGATACCACGGCGCGAGACTTCTTTGAAGAGCGGACGAACTCGATTACCTGGCATTCGGACGTGACGTATGAGAAGCAGCCACCCGGTACTACCTTCCTGTATGTTCTTGATGGGCCGGCGGCGGGAGGCGATACTTTGTTTGCGAACCAGGCGGTAGCGTATAACAGACTCTCGCCAGAGTTCAGGAAGCGGCTGCACGGCTTGAGAGTCGTACACTCAGGTAAGCGTCGACGCCGAACAACGGCCCGTGAGAAGTACTAACACCACCTCAGCCGTCGAGCAAGCCGACAACAGCAAGAACCGTGGCGGCATCGTGCGTCGCGACCCAGTAACCTCAATCCACCCGCTGGTGCGAACCCATCCTGCGACAGGCGAGAAAGCGCTCTTCGTGAACCCTCAGTTTAGTCGACGTATTGTGGGCTTCAAGAAGGAAGAATCGGATTTCCTACTCAACTTCCTGTACGATCATATCGCGAAAGGACAGGACTTCCAAGCACGCGTCAAGTGGGCGCCGGGTACGGTTGTGGTTTGGGATAATCGCGTGACGGCGCACAGTGCGCTGCTCGACTGGGATGATGGCGCGCGCAGGCATTTGGCGAGGATTACGCCGCAGGCTGAGGCGCCTTTTGAGACGGATGTCGAGGAAAAGAAGGCGGCTGGCTTTGAGTACTAGTAGAGTCAGTGTGCGATCTTATATGCAGTTGTTATTCCCCTGAGTGTCGACATGTTCAGAGTGTGTTACGCGACAGATGATGTGCCCTGAAGTGCACGCGTCATTCTTTGGAGCCGCCATCGGAACTTTATTGTGTCGCCCTGGAATCTTGTCGAGTGAACAGGAGAGATGATATTCCATTGAGGGTTGAGCGACGTTGGCAGTGACGTTGTCCGAGTTGAACAAATGGCGAGGTTGGGAAAGGGAAGAGACACGCCAGATCGCATACGTCATAGCTGGCGCGGAGGAAAGCCCACGAACGCGTACTTGCTCAGAACATCATGAAAGTCAGAACAGATAGAGTACTGTCCTATGAGCTGAATGATGTATATTCGAATAGATAACGAGATCGTGTAATAGATTCATGAATGAGAAAGATGCTGGCTCCGCATGACGCCGAAGTTTCACTCCACACCCGAAGCTTTCGCGCATCCATAGCGCCGGTACGCCTTTTTCCAATATCGACACACCAAAACAAGTACCCAACTCAGAGTTCTGGCTCTTCCTCTTCATGTGCAAGACTAGCCATGAGTAGTCCATCCCTCGAAAGAAAACCAACGTCTGCCCTGACCACCATAGTGTTCTCGGGATCGTCATCGTCATCCCCGCTAGCCTTCGGCTCGCGGTCCAGCGTCTCTGCCATGAGGCTGCTGTCGTTCTCAAAGTGCTCGGTGAGCCTGACCTGACAGCCTATGCAGAGTCTCAAACCACAACCATCAATCTCTTCGTCGCCATTAGCGTCGAGCAGTGAGCCCTGGCGCGTGCAGCAGACGAAAGTGGCGGGGGTGAAACACATCGAACACCAGCGCTGAAGTTGCTGTTGCACACCGGCCGATGTATCGGCAGATTTCATGAGATCGGCGGCTGCTTGTTCGAAATTCGGGGTCGCGCCGTTAGGGAAGATATGTTGAATTTCGTGTCCGGGGCAAAGCATAGTTTGCGCTCTGCCTGGTAGAATAGTTAGCAAACATGATCTGTGAAACGTCAAAGCATTGATGAGCATGGAAAAGAAAGGATCTTACTCATAGTGCAGGCCTGGCACATAGTCGTTGCGCCGTTGCTGTTCTCTGCATGTCCGCCGCCAACTTCGGTGTATCCCATCCCGTTGTGCCAGCGGATCACATGAACTTCCTTCTCGAACATTCCGGTGAATCCAAACACCGGGACTTCGCAAAAATTGCAGTCGCTAGTGTTCTTGTGCCCACCAAACTGAATAGGATGTGCGAAACTTGTCTTGATCTTTGTCAGCAGACCCTTGTGGCCAGCCTCGTCTTCCATCTCGAGCTCAGGGGTTGGGGAGCGTGAGAACATCGGTACGTCTTCTCCGTATAGATCTTCAAGGTCTTCCTTAGTGAAGTAGTCGTGGTCAGGTACAGCGACTTCCGGTGCGTCTCCCTCAGTCGGACCCAATACCTTTTTCTTTTTCTCTTTGACGACCTTTGGAAGATCCTGAAACGTGCAGCCGATGTGATTCTTCTTGCAGCGCTTACACGGGGGCTTGTCGGTCTTCTTCTTCAGGCTGCAGCGCTTCTTTTCCAGGCGACAGTGCGTGCATTGTATGTGGGGCCGATTCTCGGTATAGATGATTTCATCTATGATAATCCGTTCAGCGCGGTAGCCCACCGGCGGAAGTGCTTCGCATATGTACTCGTTGTCGGCGCAATGGTTGCAGATGGCTTGACGCGGCTCGTCTTCGAAAGAACAGCGCTCGTTATTGTCTTCGACACATTGCTTGCAGCGGCCTTTCTCGGTAGGCGAGATGATCGGCTCACACTCCTGTGCCATGTCGAAGCATTCCTGGCAAGGGTATGTACCGCCTGCTACTAGAGAGCAATCTGTTTCGTTGTTGCGACAAGATGTGCAGCCTCGCGCTACTGGATGACCTGTCAAATCGTCGATCTCGGAACGCGGATCTTCGATGGGTTGCTGCATGGTGCGATCAGGTGTCTTACGGCGGAAGAAATCTCGATACTCTTGCAGTTCGCGCTCAGCGTCAGAATCGATGTCAGACCATTCCTCCGGCCAGTGGTCTTCCTCGTTGGTAACGTTCCTCACATTGCCGAAGCTTTTGAAGGGTAGTTTGACAATGCACTTCATGATATTCTCTTGAGGTGCGCGCTGCTTCCCCTTCTTGAAACGATTTGCAGCTTTGGCGGCTTTGGCAGCCTTTGCTTGCTTCAACTTCAGCGCCTTATTTTGCGTCTCTTGCGCGGGATCGAAGTTGCCAGAGGCGTCCTGATCGACATAGGTATAAGTCTTCTTTCGGTCGATACCTTGTCGCAATCCATAGGCTGGCTGGTAGAGTAAGTACTTGACTATGACAGTGGTTATAGAATGACCAGTCTCACCTGTGTATCTGGGGGAATGACGATCTCGCCGTCAGATGGCGCTGGAGATGCTCGTGAAGACATGCCTTCTCTGTCGGAGTCTCCGGGTTGCTCAAAGCCAAGGTTGAATTGTTGCTCGAACGGACTGACTTCGCTCTCTTGCTGGTCGAGATTGAGACTAGACATGCGATTGCCGATGCTATGTCTGGGCATCTCCGTCTCAGGTAAGTCTAATTCCTCATCTACCAGGGGATCGTCAGGCTGTTCCTCGAAAAGATCGTCGAAATGGTCTTCTTCCACCTCCTTTGCCAAGCCTCCAAAAAGTGACTGGCGTGGTTTCTTGCTCCTAGGACTGGGTTCATCGTCGCCATCATCGGTTCTCGGCGACTTCTTGGTCCTGGGCGAAGACCTTCGAGCTTGATGAGCAGTCCAAGAGCGGTCGAATGCTTCCGGGGCATCCTCGTCGTCGGAAAATCCTTCTTCCAAGGCGTTGTAGTTCATATCGTGTTGGGCTGCGTTCTGGTGAGGTAGACCCAGGTCAAGATCTCCCTGCACCACTTGCTGAACATCTTCCATCGGCTCATGATGATCAAGGCCACCCTCGCTTCTGGATCGCGTTACATCATCGTGATCAGCATTGTGCGCGACTGTCTCTTGTTCGGTGTCAAGGCCATGCGGGAGATTGAAGTCGAACTCGACCTCAGGACGAGCTGGCATGGCATCGTCTTCCATGCTAGTTGAAGATCTGCGCGCCGAGTAGTGATGAAGGAAACGTCGAGGTTTTGATAGTTAAGTCGAAATGGTACAGTGATAGGATAAGTCCATCCGAAGTGCGGGGCTGGTGATAGAAGCACGTGTGTGGAATTCCGTAGCCAACATAAGAACGGAGGTGCGTTAGTGATAGACACGCTGGCGCTTGAGAAGGCTGAGAGGTGAGTCTAGGTGCGCCAGAGTTTAGCAAACATCAATGGTCTTGTTAGGACCAAATTAATGACAGCGAAAGAATCGGGGTGAAGATGAGAAATGATCTGTCGCTCAGCAGCAGAAGCAGATCTCAAAGAGGGCAACCGAGGGTCTGATAACTTTAGCTAAACGCAAAAGCTGAAGGAAGTATGAAAAGAAGTGATATTGGACTGGAAGTTTAGCGAAGAGAATGTTTGACCGGAGGTGTTATTACATAGCGGTGGAAGAGTCGGTGTGAGCGAGGTGAGAGACATCTCCAAGAGCGAACGGCCGGGTGGGGTCGGTTCGTTGTAGTTCAAGGCGGAGAACCTCATATCTCCACATGGTACCAATGGAAGAAATCCAGATATCAAAATCACAACGACCGGAAGGTAGATATGCTGGTGATCCGAATTGTGCTCCTCATGATGAAATGATTTGGGTATGCACAAGTCTGCTGGGCTATGGCGCGCGGTTTCCGTCTGTCTCAAACGACAAGATTCGGAAAACTTATGATTCGAAAGACGTAGAGAAGAGCTCTAGTTTGCTGTTCTTATAGCGTAGGATTCTCCATTGAAGGGGTTGAAATTGCGACAGATCCACGGACGTGAACTTCTGCCATGTCGTAACAGCATCAACTTATCCGTAAGTTTGTACCCGAAGACACAAAGTAATGCGATGAAATGTAATAATGATTCTCGAGCAACGAGTACTCGTTGACGATCTGTAATATTCTGACAGATTGCCCGTTACCTAGGTAGTCATAACCTGCTTGCGTCCGTAAAAGCGATTGTGGCTAGAGCGTATGTGTGGGCGTCCAGACTTGAATAAAGCTACGTATACCTGTGGGTAGAATATTGCGTACCCGTAGCGTTATCCAAAGGTTAACGTAGCTGCCTGATGGTGCTGTCTTCGCTGAAATTAGATCGTGATGCTCTGCTGTAGGGAGCTGGCTTACTTAGTCATCACGACGCTAACACGGACCATACCACCCCAAAATGACGCGCGCAATTTCTTAGAGCTCTGTCTATCTCTACCCGCCTCACTCATCCATGAAGCTCGACGGCGCTTCATACCGCCCTATGTGGGCACCATGGCGCGATCGATGAGGCTGTTTCTGATCCGGCATGGGGAGACAGTTGACAATGTCGCCCAACTCTAGTAAGCTTTCCGTATGTCGTCATCGGCGTTCGTTGCTAATTATTACAGTGCCGGTAGCAGAGATTCAGCGCTCACCAACCACGGCTACCAACAGGCCACCCGCCTTGGTCAGCATTTCAAGTCCCAGGGTCTGACGTTCACCCACATCTTCTCGTCGCACCTCCAGCGGGCTGTGAAAACAGCTGGCAAGATTCGAGAGGCTCAATTGACGCCCGCAAGCGACGATAACACTGCGAAAGCGGTCCCGGATGTCGTGCAGCTACGGGCGTTGATGGAGCAGGACTTCGGATCGAAGGAAGGGAAGAAGTTCCACGATCGACTGGACAACAAGGATACACCAGGCTTTGTGGAAGTGGAGTCGAAAGAGATCATGGCGCACAGAGCCGACTCATTCCTTGATGAGCATCTCTTGCCGCTCCTCGGCGAAGCTTCGAAAGACGCTGATGCCGTGGTTGCGATCGTCTCGCACGGCATCTTCCTCTCCACTTTTTGGAAGCGCCTGCTTCTGCGCCTTCCGCACAAAAGTGTTGCGCTCTCTCCAGAGCTCCAAGCGACGGCGCGACCTTCGCTTGAGCATCTCGGTGGCTGGTCTAACACTGGCTACCTCGAGCTGCACATGACGAAGGCAGAGCCTGATGACCATAGCACCTCTGCCGATGTGCATGTGGTGCCTACCCCAGAACCTTCTTCGTCACCCGCTGAGATGCCGGCCACGGATCAAGGTCTGGGCGAGGTCATAGTACCACAAGCGGCAACCGAACATGGCCCTGCATGCCAGCAGGAGTCAGAAGCACCCACCCGGGTACCTGGTCAATCTTCACCGCGACTCGCTGAAGGGTGGTGCGCAACCATCCTTGCGATCAATGGTAAGGACCATCTCCGCAGCCTTAAACGCACTGGCGGTGGTGTCGGAAGCTCTCGTCATGATGCATCGCAGAGAAGCATCGAGACTTTCTTCAAGCGTCGCAAAGTGGAATGATCTGTTTGTCACTGGTAAGTCTACACTTTTCCCCCACTCCCCCATGCAATGATGAAAAAACCTTTTAATCACAGACCTGATCGGAATTTACTGTCGACCCAAAATTGTACCAACTGCTGTCTGATTTGCATCCAACACTCCCATTCTCGAACCGCCTTTTCTTGAGAGCTCCGCTAACGAGAGAGGCTACAGATCTTACGTGGTGTGCATCCCAGCATTTGCGCGCTTCATACTAGACTTGAATTAATAACCCTCATTCCACTGCACATGTTCCTTCATTTGTGACTCTATTCCACCGCATCGTCGACGTCACACTTCATTTCACGTCCAAGGTCTCGCTGAACTTGAAGTTTAGGCAGGGCTGTCAACGATTTGTCGCTTTCCGCCCTTTGCGCTGGCGGTGAGATTGCTATAACTTGTGTTGTCGCGCAGTGGTCAGTGCCACGGCGATTTGCAGCTTCTGCTGTCAGTAGCCAGCGCGACAAGCCATCGTGACACCAAAGTAGCGCGTTGTACCAGGTTTTTGACGTGGTGAAGGTCCGTGCGTGACGCGCCTTCCTTGCCAACTCTCACTGTCGCCTCATTCACCGCAACATCGCATCATCTCGACTGCCATCGCATGCGTCTAAATCTATGAGCCGGAAAGTTTCAGATAGCTGCCGCTGGCACGGTGCATAGGTTGTGCATGCGCTGCGCTACGCCGAACATTGGTGTGCGACAAACATGCTTCTTCGTAGGATCGCCCGGTGGCTGGCATGACCGGCCACCCTGGTTTTTGGCAACGGTCAATATCAGCCCCCCAATATTAATACATATGATCAGAGGGCTGGTTCTTCGGAGTAGTTCTTTCAACGCTCTGTGTCTCTGTCAATCCGCACTCTTTTTGTCCCTTTCGTCGGATCTTCTTGAGATCTGTGTCTGGCCAACAGCAGCACGTCGTTCCTTGCGCAATCACAGTTCCACATTCGTTCATCATGAGGGGAAGTTCGTCAATAATGGTGCTGAGTACGCTGTCGGTGGGTGTACTTGGTGGTGCTATGTCCAAGCGCTATGAGATGAATAGTAGTAAGTACATGAAGTAGTTGCTTGGGTGTTTCAACTCACTGACCCTAATAGCCACTACCGTTGGAGCACTACGACCGCACGTACATGCTACTGATCTCCCAATATCGCCATACAGTTTATCGACATTAATACCAGAGCCCAGCTCAGCAATAATCGTCCCGTACCCGATTCCGTCGCCATCAAATACATCAGTCGTCGCCGCCCCTCCTTCGTTATCAACTCCATATGCAGTGTCCAGCTCTTCGCAAGAAGCACTACCAGCGGCACTGACAACATCGACTTCGCTCAATGCCACTACTCAGAACTCAACATACATATACCCATCGCTATCGGGCTCAGCAACCGTCGTCTCGCCTGCTTCGGTTCCTACCCCAGGCTATGTGCCTATAGTAGTCGAGGTTGTCTGTGAGACAGTATACTACTCAGGAACGCCGAGCTCTTCAGTTGCTTCAACTGCAGTAACTCCCAGCGCCACTCCCTCGTCAGTTCTTGCCAGCATCCATGCTGGACTGGCCATAGCTGCAGTTGGTCAAGCTGATGAGCCGGCTGCTTCTTCCATCAACCTCCCGCTCCTGTCGTCGATCTTGATACCCGATGTCAACCACCAAACCATCTTCACTACGACCACGACCACGACAACCACCGTCATTCTGACGCTGCCCACGCCGCCAGTTCCGACCACTTCAGACGTCGAATCTACTGCATTGGCGACAACGACAGCGACCGTGGTTACACTCACGTCTGCTTCCGCATCGGCATCAGTAGACCAGCCAACCTCGACATCAACCAGCGATGCAGATGAATCGTCATCATCACCTACCGACTCCGCATCCACCATTCTCTCCACCGTCACCGTCACATCCTCAACGCCATCATCACCCTCGAACACTGACACGGCCTTCCCCACCGCCCCGCCATTCTCCTACAACCCCTCTGCCTCCCGTGGCTCCGCATCCCCCATCTCTCGCCCCACTCCCGAACCCTCCAGCGCCCTCGTCGCCGGCTCGACGCTCAGCACCGCCAGCACACCAAGCTCAACCTCAACACGCATCTCGCAATACACCGGTGAACCACCTGCACCGCCGGCTGCCACCGGAGGCGCGAGTGGTATGCTGAGTGACAGGAGTAAAGAGAGGGTGTGGTGGGTCGCTTTCTTTGTGCCTCTGTTGCTTTTGGGGTAGATGCGGTAAGAATGGAACGGAGTTGTTGTTACGAGAGAAGACGTTTACGATTCTTATGTGTTTATTACGATGATATTATTTAATGTTTGTATGAGTAATTTGGGCGGACATGGGATGGGATAGGATAGGATTGAGGAAAGAGGAGGATATACCAGGTTTCGCGGCGTATAGATGGCGTTTATACTAGAGTCGGGGTCTTGGGTTTGATGTCGAATGGGCAATCGTCTACGGGGTATGCTACAATGAGTTCTGAAGCGCTTTAGATGTTGGGAGAATATTATATAATGTTAAATGCAGATGTTCAGTCAAGCAAACTTGCCATACACTCCAGGGCTGCGTTCAAAACCGGCGACGTCATCGAGTTTGCAATTAGCTGCAACATCGCTGCAAAGCTTACGGACCTAGTCCCTAGTTTCCGAAAGAACAAGATCAGTACATCAGACTATGTCCAAAAAGTTCAACGACTGAGATGATCCGGGGTTGAAGTGCGGAGAGCGTTGTTCGTTGGAGATCAGAGCGGGGGAGGAGCGCCTTGGCTAGCGCAAGCCACGATTTCTTCCGTCAATCAAACCCCATCTTCCACGCACTCTACATCACCGTCTTCGCTTCGATTCCACGCGTAAATTCGAAAATCACGCGTCTATAACGAAAATGCGATAATAGCTGGCCTTCCGTTCTCCGCCAATGATGCGCGCGATGAATTGGCACGCGTCGCATGCAGCCCAACAACCGGCGGCATCATTTCGGTTGGGAAGTATGACATAGATCGTCGCCCATTGAACCGGTACCTCAATATGCAATGAGCGTCTCGGGTGAAGATTGCCCGCAGTACCTCCAGAAGTCTGCATGCACCCCTTCCAACGGCCCGTAGACCCTGGAGAGCATCTATAAGACTTACGGTACATTGTCTAGAACCCAGTATCTGGGCGAGACTGCACTCACACGGTGTATACTCCATTCCAGCATGCGGCAATTCTTCTCCGGTTCAGCCTCCCTACTTGCTGGGTGCGCTCTGCTCCTTCCAAGCAGTGCATACGACTTGGTTCGCAGACAACAAGCAGCGAATGCGACTTACAAGGATGCGTCCGCACCAGTCGAGGACAGAGTGGCGGATCTTCTTTCCCGCATGACTATCGAGGAAAAGACAGCTCAGCTCATTCAGGGAGATATCTCAAATTGGATCAACACCACCACCAATGCTGTCAACGAGACAGGTCTGGAATGGAATTTCCGCGTGCGTGCGGGTCAATTCTACGTCGGATATCCGATACCTGCAGAATGGATCAGCAATGGCGTCAAAATTGGCCAGGACTACCTGCTACACAACACGACATTGGGCATTCCAGCAATGGTTCAGACGGAGGCTATACATGGCTTGCTCGTCGGCAATGCGACCATCTACAACAGCCCGATTGGGCAGGCATGCTCGTGGGATCCGCAGCTGATACACGACATGGCTGTGGCGATTGCAAAGGAATCGGCTCCTCTCGGTATCAATCAACTGTTCGCTCCACTCGCGGATCTGGCGCGTGAGCTGCGTTTTGGAAGAGTGGAAGAGACATACGGCGAAGATGGTTTCCTGGCCGGCGAAATGGCATACGAATACGTTAAGGGAGTGCAAAGTCTTAATGTTAGCGCCACAGTCAAGCACTTTGCCGGATTCAGTAATCCAGAGCAAGGTCTCAACACTGGGCCAGTTCATGGAGGCGAAAGAGAGCTGCGGACTACCTGGCTGCCGCCGTTTCATCGTGCAATCATGGATGCTGGTGCCTGGAACATCATGGGTGCTTATCACTCTTACGATGGAATACCTTCAATCGCGGATGGTCATATGCAAGAGACGATTCTCCGCGAGGAATGGGGTTACAAGTACTGGCTGACTTCGGATGCGGGCGCTACAGACAGGCTGTGTTGCAACTTCAAGCTGTGCCAATGCAAAACAGAAGACACACCAATCGATAGCGAAGCGGTAACACTCATGGCTCTACCAAACGGCAACGATGTGGAGATGGGTGGAGGCTCATACAACTACGCAAACATCCCACGCTTGGTCGAAGAAGGCAAGCTGGACATCGAGATCGTCGACCGAGCCGTGAGCCGCCAGCTCCGAGCGAAGTTCGAAATGGGTCTCTTCGAGAACCCATACAAAGGCCTCTCCACGAACGCGACTGAGTCTATCATCCACCCTGAAGAGCATGTGCAGCTTGCCAGGACGCTTGAGGCTGACTCCATCGTCTTGCTCGAGAACAAGAACAGCACATTGCCTCTCTCCAAGTCTGCGAACATCGCTGTCATTGGCCCCATGGCGAACATCACCAACCTTGGAGATTACGTGGTCTACCGCTCTCAGTACAACCCTACCAACGTTACCCCATTGCAGGGTATTCAAAGCGCAGCCAGTGGCACTGTCACATATGCCCAGGGTTGCGAGCGCTGGTCAAATGACCAGTCCGGCTTTCCCGATGCCGTTGCCGCGGCCGAGGCTGCAGATGTCGCAGTAGTCGTCGTCGGCACCTGGTCCCGCGATCAACAAGAGCTCTGGCAAGGACTGAACGCCACTACCGGTGAACACGTAGACGTCGCATCACTCAATCTCGTCGGCGCCATGGGCGAGCTCGTCCAAGCCATCATCGAGACCGGCAAACCCACCATCGTCGTATACTCTTCCGGCAAGCCTGTCACCGAGCCCTGGATCTCCGACAACGCAGCCGCACTCCTCCAACAATTCTACCCTGGTGAGCAGGGCGGCAATGGCTTAGCCGATGTCCTCTTCGGCGACGTTACGCCCTCCGGCAAACTCTCCGCCTCCTTCCCTTACGACGTCGGTACCCTGCCAATCTACTACGACTACCTCAACTCTGGCCGCGCCACCGACGCCGGAGCCATCCTGCCAAACGGCACCCTCCAATTCGGCCACCAATACGTCCTCAACAGCCCTCAAGCACTATACGAATTCGGCTACGGCCTCTCCTACGCAAACTTCATTTACTCCAACGTCACACTCTCCAAGACCGAAGTCAGCCCCAGTGACACGATCACCGCGACCGTAACCGTGACGAACGAATCTGATGTGGATGGCAAGGAAGTTGTGCAGGTCTATGTTCAAGATGTTTTCGCTAGTGTTGTTGTGCCGAACAAGGAGCTCAAGGGCTTCAAGAAGGTTATGATCAAGGCGGGTGAGACGGTGGATGTTAGTGTCGAGTTGGATGTGGCTAAGTGGGGGCTTTGGGATAGGAAGATGCAGTATGTGGTTGAGAAGGGGGACTTTGTTGTGCATGTTGGGGCGAGCTCGATGGATTTGAGGGGGAACGCGACGGTTACTGTTGTTTGAGGTTGCGTGTGTTGTTTACGAGGGGTCAGAGAAGACAGCTCGATTCTATCGCATGGCCACGTGACACCGCGCCACGCTAAGTGTGGCCCGTGTCACAGCAAACAACCGCTGCTCCAGCTTTCCCCTCCCCTCCTTCTCGTTCAGGCAGCTTGCTTTTTGGTAGCTTCACAATCTCTACCCTTGCCGTATTTCACGACCGACGGCTAAGTCTTCGCTTCCTACGCTTCACCTCATCAACATTACGCTACCACAACACTTGCGTATGCAAGAGTGCGGTATCATTTCCATATCAAGCTATGGAATATGACGCACGAAACGTCGACTCCGATGACGACCTTGATTCAGAGTACGCAGGCGGATATTCAGATGAGGATGGTCCCTACCTTGATCTGAATACTGATCTCTCTGGTATCAATCGCACTACAAAAGACCTCAATATTGTGAACACGTACAGACCACATTGGTCTTGCGAAGAAGCATTTCGCGAGTCATATCAAAACTGGTGAGCATATGTGTTGGCAGTTCCCAAAGAGCAATTTCTGACAAGCCACAGGAGAGACGGCATTCTGAGTTCTTTCAACCTCAATCTATCCCAGCTTCTTCCTACGTATATCGAGAAAAAACACTCCGTACTCATCGAGGCGCGCCATCCGGATACCGAAGAACTTCTTGGCTTCATTCAGTTCAAACACGACAAGGACGGATACTGCTTGGGAGGTCTCAAGATTGTCAACTTCAGAGCCGCTCTGCAGTATCGTAACTTGGGTACTGGAGCGACAACCAAATTCCATGACAATAGACAGACCGGACAGCATGGCGACGGCATGAAACTCTCTGCTCTTGTTTATCGGCGCAACAACTATAACGTCTGTTATGAGAGCAGCAGTTTCAAGTGGAGGTTCATCTACAAGAAGGGAAACTTGGCCTGCTCTCTCACTCGTATCACCGACTCAAAATTGTCTCTCAGGAAATGGGATACCAAGGGCAAACCCAGGACTCATACCTCTCATCCCTGGGAAGATGTTTGCTTGATCGTTGGTGCTGCCGGACCTACCCGAGACATTTATGGGCGTCGTATATCAGCTAAGCGGCTGAATCTCAGCGAGTTCAAGAGATGGATCACCGTAACACTCGACATCAATCCACCCAAAGATCTTATCCGCACTGTTCATGGCGATCTCATCCGCGATCCCAGATACAAAGGACGCATGTACCTGCGTGGCCTTCGTTTACCAAGTGGCGGAACGAATGGAAGGAACTACAAATACGGCTATAACTTCGTTGAAGGAAGTACTAGCTCTGATCGCGATGCGCTTTCGGGAATAGGAGAAGAGCGTGAAGGGATTGCCGCCATATGGATAGCTGCGATACGAGCAGATGAGTCGACTGATTCTAAGCTTGTCTCTGACTACACTCAACTGCTTCTAGAATCCATCAACAAGAAGGGCGACGTAATGATGCAGATTGAAGATGGAGGCAACGAGCTTATGCCTGGCGATATCGCCAGACAGGTCTGGGCGAAAATGTTGATGCTCAACACGGATGGAGAGGGTCGGGTAGCTTTCTACTATTCGTCTGCTGAGGGAAAAGATGTAAGCGAAAGATATCTACTGAATCTACCTCAACTAATTCAGCATCTCAGCAGGCTCACATTATCAAACAAAGCTTGCGTAAGAACCCCGTCCCGATCGACCCCGAGCTATGGAGGATCTTGAAGAAGTACTTCCTTTGTCGACAACCTAAAGATGAGCTGCTTCACCGCTTCAAATCTGCAGAAGTCGTGGAAAATCTCCACGGTAGCTTTGCGACACACATGGAGAAACTGTTGAAATGCCTACTTTTGTCTTCGCCGGCGACGCAGGGTATGAAACTCAACTTTGTAAAAGGCGAGCACTTGAACATCAACGCTGGATTCTTTTCGGGCACGTGGAAATTCCACAACAAGTGGCTGACTTGGGAAGGAGCGCATGAGAAGACTTTCTGCGAGGAGGATCAATCCGCTGGACAAGAGCTGTTCTCGTGTGATCATGCAGTTCTACAGCTGTGGGATGTTATGATATCTCAGCTCATGGCTGATGGCGAATATCCTCAAGTTGTTGCCGACGAGTGCTGGCTTAAGAGTATGGCAAGAAGTCGCTTGTCGCAGATGCCCCGATCGGTTGAATGCTACACAACAGAGAAGAAAGGCGAACTCAGGGTCACCTGGGAGTCAGTAGACTCACATAGGCACAACTGCAAGACCGTCAGGGTAGTCTTGCATCGGCGCGGATGCGAACAAGAACACATTTTGGACAGGAACTTTGTACATGGTGGCGGCAAGTATCTTGAGCACTATGGCTATGGATTCCATGCTAACAACGAACAGATCGACTTTGCTCCTGCCCTCTTGAGGTGTCACAAGCTGTCAGCGACGGAGTCACATTCACAGGCCTCAGTATCGGCGATGAATACGTCCCTTCTGTTTCAAGAGACGTTGAGGGGGCTTTCATTTCTCCACGGCCGAAGTCTACGAAACCTCTGGAGGAAGACGACATTATCCTACCGGATCTCGAAGCGGATAAAGAGCCTGTACTACGTAAGTCACGTCATACCATATCTCGAATCTTCAAAGAATGTTCTACTGACATATCTAGCTTTGGCTGAGACTGGCTCACGCTCCGATGCCACATATCCAGTCCGGTCGTGTTTCAATCACCAACTCCCATGTGTCAGCGATGATGATGATATGGAAGATAGCGTGTCTCTCTATCAGCCACCAAGCATAAGTCCGTCTTCATCAGGTCAAATGGCTCCGCCAACTCCGCTCGCGGCCCCGAGCCTCGAGCCACCACAGGTGCGACGTAAGCCGATACAAACGGACCTGAGAAAACAGCGCAAGGAAGATTCGCATAGTTAGTATACCTAATACCTCAACATTTGTCCTCTCGAACTGACATTCGCAAGTTCTCGGCTCCAAGATTGAGCACAACTCGCTCGACTGGGGAGGTAGCTTTCCGGGGAGTCATGACTTCTACCGAACACGCGACAAACCAGAGCAGGAAATATTCATCTTGAAGCCAAAAGTCAGTAAGAAGAAAGCACCTCACAAGCGGGTACAGTCTGGACCCAACGGGCGCAGTAGTCAGAAGAAACCGCGAGCTGGCACTCCTGGCCGCGCGGCCCCACCGCGATACATCGTTCTTTCTAGCCCGGAGTCATCAGATAGTGAGGATGCGCCCGGTCCTCAGGAAAGCTGTGCTGTCCGCAGTGGACTGGAGGACAGAACCGCACTGCCTGAAAGAGGCATAGTGTATCGGTACTGAGCGAGCGATGCGATGGTGATAGTGGGTTATCTTGGAAGGCAGCTGCCATGTGATTGTATAAGATCTCTTATTGGGCAATGGCCGAGAGTCTGTCGCACTAGATCGGTTGATGTACCGTGTCCACGCGCAGCAGACTCGCGACGCCATCCTGCAGGGCCATTGGGCCGCGTTGTCAGCCCTAGTCCGTCGGTACTGCATCGAGCTTGCATTCGCGTCTGCAACTAGCGTATCCAAAAGCTTCTGTTTGACGTTCTAGTCGATGTATGGTTGTCTCGGTTCTGGTTATGGTTGGCTTGAAGGCCGTCTGATACGTTGAAGCCCCTTGTACTGGTTGGGAGACCCACCGTCCTCTCGAAATACCTAAGCTTGTTATTTATAGTAAGAGTCTTATGTAGCATGAACTACTGTGTACCTTGCAGCAAAGCTGAGATGTCGCGTAATTCGCGACGAAGCCATGGGTTCGATCGTGCCGCTAACTACAGTGACGCTCGATGCTAGCACCCTGCGACCCAGACACCCCATTTCCGCACAACATACAAAGGTGTATCTCAAATACATCGCGAATAGTATGACTATAGTGATGGTATTCCATGAAAGCACAAGCTCGCGACGGTCTGCCAAGCTGGGTGCAGCACTATATGGTCATTACACCATATATTGGATCAACCAGTGCATGATGAATCTAAGATCTCTTATTTTCTATTTATTTCAACATTACCAGATTTCAACAGCTCAACGTGGTGTCAGTCTGCACTTCAGATGGATTCACTCATCGCGCCGCATAGCTGAATCGGGTTAGCACGCTACGGCCGCCATCTCGCTTAGATGCGGCGACCTCTCCAACGGCCACGATAATCGGAACCGTCGGTGACGACTGCGCAACTCTCCAGACTTTGATATCAGCAGATAGGCAGACGATTAATCACGAGCCATGTCCAATTGGAGCCATGGCAGCCGGCGTAGAGGGCATCGGGAAAAGAGACGGAGCTTGCCCGTCGCAAAATCTTGCTCGATAAGGAAACAACCTCCACGAATGCCCCGCGCCTAGTCTACAGCGACCACAACGACATGGCCGCTTTCGGCCCACTATATTCACTAGCCGCTTGTGGTGCGAGTGATGGTAGTAGTGCGTGATGGTATAAATACGCAATGCGATGGTCTTGGATGGTCATCGCCGCATCAAACCTCTCCCACTTCTATGCTCTGCGACGATAAACCGTGGTTACTGAACAACATGTCGTCGAGCAAGCCCTCATACCTCGTCGTTGGCGCCGGCGTCTTTGGCATTTCCACAGCTTACCACCTTATCAAGAAGTACCCAGACCGACAAGTTACCGTTGTCGACCAGGATGCTTGGGACGCCGATAACCGTGTAGCAGCTTCGTGGGACTGGAACAAGGTCGTGCGCGCCGACTACGACGATGTCATCTACTGCAGACTCGCGCTTGAGGCGCAAGATGTTTTCAAGGAGGACCCATTATGGCAACCATACTTCCACGAGACCGGCATCTTCTGGGTCTGCCGTTCAGATTACGCACAAGAAGTCATCGACAACTACAAGAAGCTTGGACGCGAAGCAGACTTGCAATCAGTCACCATTGAGGAGGCGAAGAAGTTGTTCGGTGGTCTTTTCGAGGATGCGAACTATGATGGCGCGAAGAGTGTACTCGTCAACAAGACGAGTGGCTGGGCACAGGCTGGCGACGCGCTAAGAGCAGTTACCAAGTGGTCGATCGCAAAGGGCGTCAAGTACATCACGGAGAAGGTCAAAGACCTAGATTTCGACAGCGCCGGCCGCTGCACAGGCGTCAACACCGAGCAAGGCAGCACCATTAAAGCCACACACACCATCCTCTCAACCGGCGCCTACACCGCCAAGCTCCTCGAGCAAGCCGCCCAGAAAAGCGGCAACCCCAACCTACGTTCTGGCTCAAGAATTGTTGCTGGTGGTATCACGACCGGCATGACGACTCTAGACGAGAAGTCGTACGAGAAGTTCAAGGACATGCCCGTTGGTGTCCAGGGCTACACCGCCGCATATGGACCCTTCATCGGCAGCTTACCGCCTACCAAGGACCGTGAGCTCAAGTGGTGGGGCGAGAAGATCTTCAAGAACACACATGAAGTACTACCCGGTCGCTTCGTTTCTGCGCCACCGTCTGGAAAGGATTATAACCAGTGGGATGTGCCTGGCCCGTTGAAGCTGGATATTGATCATGCGAATGATGTGTTCTACGGCAAGAAGGGCGCGAACTGGAAGATGGAGAAGCATCGCATTTGCTGGTAAGTTCTACACCCACATCTCTCCTGAGCGATCAGTATTAACATCACCCAGGGACGCATTCACGACTTCATCCGACTTCATCATCTCGCCCCACGCCGGTGCCAAGGGCCTCTACGTCGCTACCTGCGGCTCCTTCCACGGTTACAAGTTCTTCCCTGTTCTCGGCAAGTACGTCGTGCAGATGCTGGAAGACGAGCTGGAACCGGCGCTCAAGGAGAAGTGGGCATGGGATCGTGAGAGGCCCGCGCCTAGCCTAAACCCCGACTGGCCTAGGTTCGAGATGACGGATTTGATGGACCAGTGGCCGAAGTCCAAGTTGTAAGATGTATCAAGAGGATTTTGATGAAGTTAATGAGTGGTTGTTGCATATTTGCATGGCGCCTGGGTTGGCGTTTTACGTTTCTTTTACATAGCGGATGTTGTCAATAACAGTCCTACTTTTCCACCTTGCAATCCCATCGCCGTATCCCAGCCTCCTCCTCAAGTTCCACCTCGATCTCATCGACCCATTCATTCATTTCTTCCAGATATGCCGTGATCTTGCTCATACAGCGTTTGAAGTGTCGCTTTTGCTCCTCGTCGAGCGTTCTGAACTTATCTTTACCCCACGTACCCAAGTAAACATACTTCATATCTTTTAGCGGGCTCATCACGTTTCCGGTAAGACAGTCCATTCTCTCGGCTTCGGTGGTGAGGGAAAAGAACGGATCGATGAAGCAGCCATGAAAGTAGAGCTTTTCCAGAGGACCGGGGCCGCACATCTTGGGGGTTCGTTTAGAGGAGATTGCGGTGACGGGCTGATGATTGAGTTGGGAAAGGCAAAAGAGCGCAGATCAGCTTGTTACTAAACAGTCGTGCCACCGGCATATAACTCTTCCTTAGATTGCTACAGCGCAAACACTCGGCCATGAAAGGGTACATACGCTTGCGTACGAGAAGATGCGAGCAAACAAACGCCGTATATACGCGAGCGAACGTACCAAATCTACCCGCCACCGCCTATTCCACGATGCCCTCTCGCAAAGATGGAAATGACCCCAAAACGTTCGCAGACAATTTCGCAATCAGGAGGCTCTACAAAGCAATCCTTAGGTTCCAGCGCGTATGCCTCGGTAGAGATGTTGATGGCAGCATGATCGAGACATCCGATCGAGCGAAACACCCCACTCTAAGCGCGGGTAACAAGAGCCTTTTCAAGAGAACTGCGGCGCATATGCAGAATGTTCTGAGGTGGAGTAGAGATATTGGTTTAGAAATGGCGATTGAAGAGGCTGGTGACATTGGGAAACAAAGGCTACCTGGTCTGCCTGGTTGGGTCTTGGGAGTGGAAAGCAAGGAGAGCAAGCACGGTAACGATTGGTTGCAGTGGAGCAAGTAATTCATTATGGTGAGGCAATCAACTGCTCAATTAATCCATGTTTTACATTATCGTAAAGCTCATCTCCGAGTGAAGCAGTAGGAATCGTAAGAAGAGAAGAACCAAGCAGCAAGCTTAGTTGCCGACCTGAATCGCGTAGCCACCGTCAACAGTGACAGTCTGACCGTTGAGGTACTGGCAGCCAACCGCAAACAAGATAGCCGCAGCCATATCCTGATCCTTACCCGGACGCTGAGCCGGCAGACCCTCCTTGTGCTCCTTGGGCATCTCGCTCTTCTGGTTGTCGTCTCTGCTCTCTTGGGTGGTCATCTCCGAAGGGAACACACCCGGCGCAATCGAGTTAACCCGAACCTTGATCCCGTTCTTCGCAATCTCAGACGCGAGCAACTTGTTAAGGTGTATCGCAGCGCCTTTGCTGGAGTTGTACGCAAAGTGGCCTTGCGAGATCTTGATGTGACCGGAAATAGAGGAGATGTTGATGATGGTGCCGGAGTAGCCGGGGTGTGTCTCGGTGGACTTTTGGAGGAGAGGAAGGAAGGCGGTGGACATGAGGAAGGGGCCGACGACGTTGGTCTGATAGACATCGAGCCATTCTTGCTCGGTTGTGCCGTCGAAGAGCTTTGAGACGAGGTCTTCAGCGGAGCCTTTTACTTCGGTCTTGCCGGGGGCGATGCCGGCATTGTTGACTGGGGGTGTTAGTTGGCGTTATCCGAGATATGTATAAGTAGGAGAGAACTTACCGAGGACGCATAGGCACTTCTCCTTTGATTCGATCTCCTTCTTGATCTTGCTGTGAGGTAGTTAGACTCCGTTCTCGATCGAATGGCACGGGTGACTTACGATACGCCGTCCTTGGTGCTGCAGTCTCCGACAATAGGAATGATCTAGTGACTGTTAGTCTACATTCCTGGTTCTCATCGTGTCGAAGACTTACTTGTCCTGAAATGTTCTGGCCATGCACCTCAACGACCTTCTCGAGCTTTTCCTCTGTTCGTCCAACAATGTACACCTTGGCACCGTTGACAGCAAGAGTTTGTGTGATCATGAGACCAATTCCAGAGCCACCACCGGTGACTAGAACGACCTTGTCCTTGACATCAAAGACTTGGCCCATCTGGAGCTCGGCGTTGTTGGTAGGAGCCATGTTTGCGTAGTTGCGCTGTTGATTTTGTGGTTGAAATTGATTTGTGATTTGTTTCGTGCGTTCAATTGATTGCATGCGATTTGAGAGCGCAGAGATTGAAGAGGGGAGAGGTCGTGCTGCAGAAGTTGTGATATAGCGGGTAAACGGTCTGACGTCACGGTATGAGCACCGCGTTGCAAAGCGCGTCAAGGTGA